AACCGCAGGAGCAGGTCGAGCACCTCTGCTGATTCCCAGTCTCCCAGATGCAATAGAATAAGGCTGCGTCTGTTGGACCTGTCACGGAAACGATCCGGCCCTAGGCCCCTAATAGATCCTTCATCAACCAAGAAGGGAACCGTAGGGGAGATTTCCGAATCACCAAGTGGAATATGCCGCGGATCCCCAACAAACCTCCCTTCAGTTCCGGCAGTGGGCATAAGCTGCATAAGATCGTGCCTAAGCCTGCTGATAGTAGCCTTTTGGTCCTCAATGACCTCCTGTTGCTTCTGCAAATGTTTGGCCAATCTTCGATTCCGTTTTCTCAGCGTACTTTGCAGTTGAATAGCCTCATCAAAAGCTGTTTGGGCATCCCTGCATCGGCTGAGCATGTGAAAAGCAGAGGAATCCGAAGTAACAGACTCATCGTCCTGTTCCCCACCCCCACCAGTAACGAGGGAGTTCACCCAAATAGGAACAAAGCCAGTCCGTCCACCAGTCACGTCGAAGTACCATCCCAACGCCGGGTCGGCTTCTGGGGGAAAACTGAAATAGTCCAGAAGAATGGATCTCACCTTTTCAACAGTGTACTCATCGATTCCCAGCAACCCAGCAATAGTGGAGGGCGAGCTTTCAGGGATGAAGTGCAAAGGTTTGATCTTCCAACTCACAAACTTGCCAACAAGAGTTTGTTGATCCCCATCAGAAACATGCATGGTGGCCAAGGCAACCGCATCCTTGACATCTCTTTCATCTTCCTGATCAAGAAATTGTTTGGCCCTCGTCTGTTGAACAGCTTTGCCCATGAGCTTCCGACACGCCGTCTTAAGACTCAGGACTTGGGCTTCAGACATTTGGGTGAGCGTCATAACAACTCGGGTTTTCTCAGCCAGAATCTGTGCATAGGTCTGATACCGATTTAAGGGAAAAAGGTCCCTAATTTCGTCATTGAACGGCGTGAGCTGCAAATATTGCCCCAATCTCATAAGGTCCACAGGTACCTCCTGTTCAAGCATACCCCCCTGTAAAGATCTTTTGCGAGGCAGGGCCGGTCGTCCATCGATGCCCAGCATAGGCTCTTCCTTCTTCCACACCTCAACCCGTCTTATGCGGGGAAGAGGGGGCCGGGGATCTGTGTCTTCAACATAGATCTTCTTGTGCTTGCGCCTCTTCCTCTTGTGAGGCCGATAATCACCTTCACTCGTCCTCGCTGGTGGCGGGGTGCCTTCACGAGGCCGCTCATAGGTTGGAGCCACGGTGAATGTCCGGGTGACGGCGAAGTGAACCTTCATGCATCGGCGGTCCCTGCCGTGTTTCCTCCACGCTGGCTCTCTCTTCGTGGGTTCCTCACGTTGATTGCTCTGCAAAATGGCATCGTCATCCGTAGAATAGTAGGAGTAGTCGTCTCCACCGCCTCCGCAAATAAGCCGGGTAGTCTCCATGCCGCTTGCACAAAAATAGGCCAGGGAGCAAACCAAAAAGAGATAAACCCGGATACTGCGCCATTGCCCCATGTACTCTGTGTTCCATAATCCAGCTCCGCTGATATCTCTCCTCAACCGCGGCAAAGGGCGCCTCCTCGGGAGCGGGGTCCGAAGACTATTGTGAAGCGGCCTCCCCCCAGGGGAGCGGGATCGGGACTTAAATCGGATCCCTCGCTGCCAAGTCGGCGCGTCCGACAAACTCCACACTTCTCCCAAGCCTCGATATCCATCGGAACCTGAGGCCTGATCAACAAGATCAGCAACTTCTTCACTTCCCTGCCGCTCGTCATGTTCTCTGCTTGCTTCATGTTCCTCGGTTTCCACAAGGACTTCTTCCATTTCTTCCATCTCTTCTTTCACTTCCTCCTCACCTGCACCATCAACCTCAAGGGGCTGAAGAACGCCCCAAGGCTCCAAGCCTAGTCTCCGACATTTGGCAGCTAATACCTCATCTCGGACAATCTCCTCATGTAGCACACAATATCCATATTGCCAGATCATCCTGTAATTGTGCGGGCCACGAGCCCAATAAACATTGTACAGAAGTTCCGGTGGGATGTCCTGGCCCACCAAATAAACTCCATTGGTTGATTTGTACAAGGGCATCTCTGCATCCAACAATTGCTGAACATTCACCGCCACCACCAAATCACAACCCGGCCTCATACCTGATTGGCCATGGTTCACAAAATAGGTAGTGCTGAAATGCACGTGTTGCCTGTGACCGCATCGCAGCCCCTGACGTCTGATGGATCCCCACGCCGCCAAATAAGTGCCATGGAATAAAGTGGGCTGATCCACCTCATCCGGCGTTGTAATCTGGCGATGCATCTCATTGCTGAGGTCCAACTCCTTGTTGTGGCCTTGTGTAGCGCGAATAAGCCACCCATCTTCTCCTTGAAGCACCTCAAATCTGCCCTTCTCATCCCGGTTGACTGCCAAGAGCACGCTGTCGATCGAAGCATGAGGCTTCCTTGCCAAAATATCCTCCACCTTCACGTATCCCTCACTGTCCATTTCAATACCTTCCTTCTCTGCTCCATGCCGAAGAACGAAAGAAAGGTATCTGCTGATATCATACGTAACTCCAGGAATATCGTCAAACTGTGATTTGCTCCTCCCTTTCTTGTGACCTTTGCCACCTCCACAAAGATCTCCAGAAGGAATCGTGCCTCCGCTATCGTCCATATCTCCAAGGTCGACACAAGGGGCACACAAGTCAAGAGGCGATCTCTTGTAGGCTTCCCATGAAACCTCGCGATTTCCAAGCCAAAAGCTGTTCACCCGGATGGCCTCAAAGTGGTCGCTCCAGAGCCTGAGGACCAATGGCCTGATCTCCTGATCCTGGGCTGTGGGCAAAAACCTCACCACTTGTCCGAAGTGATTGAAGTTGCACTTACCACTCACGTTGACCACCCAAATTTCCTGGCGAAGAAAATTGGCTGTAGCCCGAATAGCCTCTTCGTCAGCCCATTTACCATCTGCTTTGTGCTTCTCCTTGGTTTCCTGATTGGCCTCCATGAGCACTTGCTTTTTGGTCCTCTTCCAGCTCCTGGCATGCCCAAAACGAAGCTGACTCACCGCGTACCAAAAACAGTTGCCGCGCCCAGCATTGTTCAAGGTTCTCCCTTTCACTGAGCCATGCGTCATCAAAGGGCCTTCCAAATCACGTCCACACTTGTCCAGGTCCAAGTCCAACCCGCCCAGCTGCTCATCATCTATACCTCTTATACTGCATACTCGGCCAAGAAGCTCCCAGAGACGGAGTACCACCTGAAACCATCCCCAAAAGAAAAAGGCCACGCCCATCCAGCCAATCAGAAGTCTCACGCCTCCAAGGCGGCTTCCATGGCCGAGGCCCACCAAGGGGCCAGGAATCACAATCAGTCTGGTTGAGCCATATGAGGGGAGCAACGGTTCTTCATGTCCCATATAAATGCTCACCGCATATCCGGGGGGCTCATTGCAAGAAACATTTCCATGAATGAACCAATCCAAGGCGAGGGTACATAACACCCAGAAAATCACCAAGATCGGAAACCGAAAGGGTATCCAGGGGGTCAGCCGACATCTCCCTTGCGCCCAAATACGACACCCGGCCTGTATCTCATCCAATTCACGAAGAATAGTAACAAATAGATAGTCCAATACTGCAGCTCCTCCACGAAGAAATCGGCATAATGACAAATAAAGAATACCAATGGCACCGATGACGAGGTACTCGAAGACCGCATCAATAGGTCGCTCTCGAAGAAGAATACATACCAATACCCAGCAATAATCATAGATACCAAATAGCATCAACTCATCTCTGCAGTCCTTATTGATCCTCACTCTGCTCCAAATGAGGGAGGCCCAATATGCTGCTTTAACAGGAGAGATACAAATACCATTCCAAACGACCAAGAACATCTTCGAAAACAGACAAACATAAGAATAGTCACCGCAAACTCGGGATTCCACCTGAACCCCCCCATCTACATCTCCAAAGGATATGGAAAACATGAGAAAGTTGACCAGAAAGGCCAACATCAACCCCCGTCCCCAAATCTGTAACTGTCCGGGTGATGGGGCCATGACCAAGGAGGGGTCAGGTCCTACCGAACAGCTAACAGCTGTCACCGCGGGAAGGCTTGAGGCTGAAACAGCTGTTTTGATCGTGGCTCATGTGGTTGACCTCATGTGGACTGGGATTTTTGAGCCCGCTGGTAGCTGCGAGACATGGTTTTCCCAGACTCCTGGATAACGCCCTTACGCTGAGGCTCCAAAGTTCGGCCAGAGGCAAGGAAATCATTGCGAGTATCACGTAGTAAACCGGAAGATTCGAGCTGCTTGAGAACCCCGGGCTCCCAAAGTGATCCAACAGCTCGAGGTGGCTTTGCCGCTTAGTGGTGTTACTTTTGCCTTTGACAACCAGCCAAGAGATTTCCCCTAGTTGTGGAAATGCCCGTCTCCGGCATAGACTGGCAAGGTGTTAGTTGAGGCGCCACTCCACAAATGGGAGCCTGCTGCAAACCATGAAAACATGCCCAAGGCCGCTTGAAACTCGGAGAATTGACCCGAGTCTCGATGGTCTCGTGCGTTGGCATATTGTGAGCTCAAGAGCTCAACAAATTCTTCAGCCCAAAGGTTGGGGCATTGCTCAATGCCATACCTGTCAACCCTCAGAACTTTAAAACCAATCCCAAAAGGAGATCTCTCCAATGAAGGTGTTTTGGGGGTTCTAGGTGAATCTGCAGCTGCCTGTTTCCCTCAAGCCCTTCCAGCGTTGCCATCATTGGGTCCGAACGACTGGACAAGCAAACCGCACACCATACTGCTCCGAGCTGCATTTGACTGTCCATAAAGAAAAAGGATCAACACTTGCTGGGGCTTCCAATTCCAAACCCAAGTCTAGGGTTCACTCCTTTTCCGTCATGATCATGATCAGCATCAAAAATACGCATCATCATCATCATCATCATCATCACCACCACCATCGTCTTCATCGTCTTCGTCATCGTCCCACGCGCGGTCCTGCGGGAACTCCGAAGGGTCCACCTGAACTCCGACCTGGACCGGCTGGCCAGTGGGGATACTGGGATTAGTTCATGTGGATGGCAGCTGCGTTGGAAAAGAAAAACCTAGGTATCGGTTTCAAACTACTTACAGTACTGACTGGTGCAGGATTGAGAAAAATGCACTCACAAGTTTGTTGTTGCTGAATTGGACGGGATGCATTGGAAGGCAGCATTCTCCTGTTTACAACCCGGGTGGGCACTGAAGAAAGCCCACGCAACCAAGTACACTTCGGCCAGCCTCTGATTTGCCAGTGGGAAGTGGAGGTGCTTTCGCCTGCGAGCGCTTCAGGTAAGTCAGACGGTGAAGATGGCAGCTGAGACATGATCACGTGACCCTTTATTGGAACCTAAGGAAGGTTGTTGAAATCAAATGGGCATCTTTTTGCATGTTTAAACAGAGAGCGCTGGCAGGGGGAAACTTCAGGAAAGGGTTCCCAAAACACATGTTCGGGTGCCCAATGACCCTGTGACCGTTTTTGGGTGTGTGTCTTTTTCCCTCTTGGGTTTTTTTGAAGATGCAACAACGGCAGTCACAACAGTTTCCACACCACCAAATGGAACGCCTAAATCAGGGTTCCCCAAAAACACACACCAAAATCCTGCTTATCAGCTGGTTAAACATGACAAGTATGTATCCTTTCAGCTACCCTGTTTTCGCGGTTGCTTCAACGGCGAAGTGCCAATTGCAGACAAGCCCATGTGTCGCGTTGGAAGTGGCAAGGGTCTTCTTGTCCCTCATCAAGCACCATCCCAAAGACAATCTATGTCCAAGAGGAGGCACGGGATTCTTCCTCATATGGTATGTGTTTCCTCTCTGATTTTTGTGTCCCACCCACATAGGCCATATTCAATTAGAACAGACTTTTGGCCGGCCACTGTTCCTTGAACTATTTAAAAACCGCGCTTTTGACTGCTTGGTCCTTCCAATACCTTTTTCCATAGCAGAGTTCCAGGTGCTGTCGGACCTCTAGCGCTATCCAAAAAGGGGTATCAAAACAACCAGCTTTCCTTTTCCTGCCAAAACCACAAGGTGGGCTGGACCCATTTGTACTCACTTCCTGAGCGGACTGGCCGAAAACTAGTCCCAACTTTTCGTCTTTGCCACTCGGCTGCTCCCCAAAACGTCCAGAACGTCGAACTCAGGGAGGTGCCAACTCGGGGGAACTTCGAGCGACTCGTCTTTTTCATGTCCGCCTCCGCCTCCGGCTCCGCCGGCTCCGGCTTGGACCTGAGGGTTGCAAGCCAGCGCCGAACATCCTCCATTTGCGAATAGGTTCCCTGGAAGAATTAAAAGTATTGACAGTAGTGATAGACTCCCTTTAAAACCAACAGGGGAAAATCAGACGTAGAAGCAAATGGAAGTCTGTGTTGTCCCTGAGTTCACCAAGTGCACTCTCTTGGGTCACCAAACTGTGGTCTTCAATTGGCAAACCCGGGCCTTTTGCAGAGTGCGGGTATTTAAAGGCTCAGGCTACTTGAGGAAAGTGAGCATGGAGACATCCAACGCCATGGTTGTCAGTTCCCGTTCAGCCTAAGGGCCTATGGACACACTGGCAGGGTGAAGATTGTTGTCGCGTTGCAAGTACATGAAGTACTAGTTGTGCAAACAGCCTCGTTTCAGCTGCTCCTTGAAAGAGACTTTCGGGTCTGCTTGTGCTTGCTGACAAGATTGCCCGCACCAGACATTGGAGCGTTTGCGCCCCTGTGGTCTTGAGAACTTGGACATCTCGTCTTCCCCACACATATAGCAACCGATCGTGACACTCGTTCGCATGGTTCGGCCATGGCTCAAATTTACGGATACCAACAGACACATTCAATATGCATGCTTCCCTCTGGCCACCATTTTAAGGTACAGCATGTACTGCCTCATGTCTGAGCCACAGTCAGTTCTTCCACTCCACTCTTGCTTTTCTTTCTTGGGGACGAAAGGACGAAAGGTGTCGCGCTTCGGAGTTGGGAATCGTTTGAAAGCAGGGCCTGTTGTTGGTCCAGTGAAGAACAAACTCGTTTAGGGCCATGATTCAAACGCTTCAGCCTGCCTTTTTGGCTACTCAATTTGGTCTTCGCAGACATAAAGTCCAACTGCGGGAGTTTCAACGAGGCCCACCCGCCCCCGAGACTCCAAGAGGGGAGTCAGGGCTAGGAAACCAAAGCCCTCCAGTGGCCGTAAATCTCCATCTGAATGATGCCCACGGCGGTATGTGTCAAATAGAGGGACTCCCAAACATGTGTGTTTCCTTCTAGCTTAAACCAAGGCACAAATGTAGCGCTCTGCAAAACACAAACACACACACACAGACAAACAACCGTATTATATGTCAACATTCGAGGGGACCCGCAATGGTCCAATGTTCCTTTTGGTTGCCCTTTCAAGCCACCCCAAAACAGGACCAACTCCAAAATCACCAACTTCACGAAACCCAAGAACCTGCCAGGCTACTCCGGCTCCTTTCGCTCAACCTGCGACAGGCCACTCACCTCTGACCGCTCACCGCCCTGTGAGGAAAAAGGGCCACATGCTTGAGTTTCCCTTAAACAAACCCAAAAACAATAGTGTTAGGTTGATTCCGGCAACCCCTAGGGCGCGGTCCGGGCGTTGAAACCCGAACAACACCTCCCAAACTTCCTTTTGGTCTATGTCAGTCTCTGCCAAGGGCGTGTAAGTGTGTAGGTGTGCTTCCTCCAACAAATGAGTTTTGTTGGGTGGTTCCATGTCAACTTGCAGGAGAGTACCTCATAGCACTGAAGAACACATGAGGCGTATACATATGAGGTGCATGTTGTATATGCATATGCATATGTCGCAGGTCCAACTTTCTCCTTGACGGGCCAAACACAACATCAACAATCGAAGTGCCAATCAACAGGTCATGACTCCGGGACCAGGAATGCTATCTGTACCCTTTTTTTCGGGTGGTGTTAAAGGGAAGCCCGGGGGACTACCACCATTGATGTTTGTTTGTTTTTGTTTGTTCTTTTTGGGGGGGAGGGTCCCCGAGTTCAAGACAGCCCCATATGCAGCGGTAAAAGGACAACCCTGGCAGCGGAGTTTACACGGTCCGCTCAAATGCTCCAAGAGACCAGAATCAAGTGCAAAGTTGGGTCACCGTACAGGGGTGCCAACAAATGGTTCTAAGGTGCTACATACAAATAACATTCATATAACATACCGGGCTGAATTACGGAACATCGAGGAAGGGCTCGTGGGGTACATTAAAACCAGAATCAGTCTTTGTTGGAGGAATATACTTTTCGTTTTGATACATACACGCATGCACCCCAATTTGGGCTGTGGTGAAGCTGGTCCTGGGCCCATTTCAAAATTAAGACATCCGGGGTTTCCTAGTGATTTTGAGAACCCCTCAACATGTTCACTTGGCACCCAGTCAAACCATAAAAGGTGTTCAAACCAACTTTCGGATTCCCCAGTTTAGGCCACAGTGAATATTCACCAGGTCTGGGCAAACTATAATTCATCAAACAAATGCAAACAAAGGAATCCCCAAATCAGAGACCTGGATGATGGGTGAAATCGCTCGCTTTGCCCAGATCAGATTTTCCCACCTGTCATTTGAGTGTCTGTTCTTGAGGCTCGGTATTCTTTGTTGGAGTGTCTTGAGGGGAGGTTTTAAAGGACTCGATGAAAAGCAAGGAACACACCCATTCGGGAGATCCCTAAATTGAGAAGCCGTTTGAGCTGCGACGACAATGCATCCAAGATGGCTGTGGTTTAGGCCTACCATAATACCTACTAGAGGAGGTAGGAGCTGAGCCACCGGGGTATGTCGTCAAACATAGGAACCTAAAACAAATGCTTGTCATTTTGGTTTCCACTCAAAACTGTCCAAAAAAGGGTGCAAACTAGGTTCTGATGCACGAATGCTGGGGCAGCACCACCAGACGAGTGAAACCGCCGACTTTCGGAATCGGTTGCCTCGGTGTTCGCAGCGCTCTCCATTGGGGAGGTGCCTGGCGATCCGATGTGAAAGCAATGGTTGGGTCTGTTTTGAGGTTGGTACCTTTTTTGGCTTTTTGGAGCTGGAGAGTTTGGAGTTGGATTACCCTTTTTCGAGTTGGCACCCTTTGGCGTTTTGCAATGATGAGCAGAAGGCTCTTGAATCGGAAACACAAAGTCCATTGCCTCCGGCCCACGGCAAGATGGCGAACCAAATCGCAGTGACTTCATTGCAGTCTTGGGGGCCATTTGACAGCCATTGGATTGGAGGGGGGTCAATGTATAGCTATGTTCGCTTGTGAACGGCCTTTTGTTCCGGCAACGCTGACAAAGGCCGAAGTGGATGAAACTACTTTAAGGCGCTACATCATTTGTGTACCACTACAATCGCGACTAAATATGGCTTTGACAAATTGTAATTGTTTAGGCCGTGGTCAGGCTTGGCTTGGAGGGGGATGCTTCGGGCCCCTTGACATAGCCTGGTGTTCGATCACTTTCCATCCTCACAACGTAAGCCTTCCTTTAGGCATGGGGCACGTGATTGCTTCTCAGAATTGAGAACCCTTTTCGGACAGGACAAGAATGCCACCGTGATGCAAGCAAGAGAAGAGCCTATTGCTCATGTGGGACCTGATACAGAGTCGCAAGCTTCTCTTGACGCATCACAGGAGTCCCAACCAAAGGACAAAACATAGAATGTCTCGGGATGGTCTTCCAGGAACCTTCGGGTAGCGCGTCCCTCCAGTGTGTGGTTTGGATTGGAAGTTTGGAAGTTCGGGGCTAGGGGTGGTCTCACATTTGCCCTCTACACAAACGAGAGCTCAAAGTCCCAAAACACCAATCCAAACCACCAACTAAGTGTTGCCTGAGGTCTGGCAGATAAAACAAACGTAAACAAACGTGGCAGGGCGGCCGCATGAATGAACTCGAGGTCTCGTGCTGGCCGCCTCAAAGCTACCACCCCAACAGCGGCTGCCACCAAAGCCAAAAAGGCTACACCTGGTCCAAGCCCGCCAATGGCTGTCAAATGGCGCCCAAGATTACCTGAAGAAAGTCAGCTAGCAAACCGGTTTGATGGCCGTTGAGGGCTCCTGGGCGCAACCAATCCAAGAATTTACCATACTCAGAACATGTGCTCAAAGAAAACCGTGAAGAATAAGTATACAGCACAAGGCCTGAGCTTGGGACAGAAACAATATCCTCCACGAATCGGCCCGCGACCGCTGCATGCTCCGCCTCACAGCTGCGCTTTGGGGACGTCAGGGTTGGTTGATTGGTTGGTGGCAGGTTGCTTGCTTGCTAGGTCTGTGCGGGTCTTCATCTTTGCCTGGTCTGGCTATAGGTCAAGGTCATCGGCTGGACTCGATTGGCTGGTTGGTGTCCTGACAGTTTGGAGTTTTGACGGCTTGATGGCTGGAAGCTTTGATCTGTGCTGATTGTCGCTGCTTCGTTTTTTCTATCGCTGGTTCCTTGTTGCTTGTTGGTATGCTTTAATTAGTCTTAGTAGCGACATGTAGCAACACCGGGTTCCGATTGGTTCCGGCTAGCTGGCAATCAAGGCTGACATCTTTGTTCCGTCCTTACAGACTTGCCTGTAAACAATTTATCACGCGTACACATGATTCAAGCTACAACCGGTGCAATGACCAAGGTGTCAAACACATCATGAACTCAAACATATTTATCGAAGGCACGCATGCCTTCGTTTTTAGTCAAGCCATTTTTTGAAGCGTCCCTCCTGCTAAAACCTCCCTCCTCAAACGGCCAACCAATGGGAACAGGATTCCGCGTATGTCCCCACTAAACATCACCCATCAACATTGCCCATTTAACCCACCGAAAACGGGGAAATTGATGGAAAATTCAACCTCCAGAGACCAACGGCTGCTTCTTGGATCTCCAACAAGCACGTTGTCTCATAATAGAGGTACCCCAAACATAGGGTCGTTTCCCTTTAGTTTCCCTTTAAACCTATCCCAAAAAAGGATGCCAAGGGAAGAAGCAGCAAACCTGGGCGCCAGGCCCGTTCCTCTTCGCGTGCCGACACAGGCGCCTCCTGTGAATGGGATAAATGGGCCGTGGCTCAAGCGGGATATGGTTGGCAGTTCAAAGATCTTTGGGTGGCTGGTCCTTTTTCTGAGACTCGGCACCCTTTCTGCTTGGTCTGAAGGGGAAACCCAAGGGAAACCACCCGCCAATGCGGAGACAAACCGAAACCCATGCAGTGGTCCCTTTAAGGATGTCCATAGCCTGGTTGTTTGCACCAACCTTACTTGCAAAGGTGTCCCATGTGTGGATAAGCCAACCCCGGCATGAAAGAAGAGTAAATCGCAATGTAAAAATAATCTCAGTTGGGCAACAGCACGTTTTCCTTGTTGGGACTGTCCCCCAGAACTTCCGCGCATTCAATTGCTCGGATTTGGGATTGTAGCTGGCTCATGTTACTTGTTCTGTTTCAAGTGGGAAAGGACACACTTTGATGGCAAACTGAGGCGACGATGTCGGCGGACTTTGTGAGCCGTTCTTTTGGTTGATGTAGGTCAGACATACAAGCCGCAGGGAACTCACCTTGAAGAGAGGTCGTCGTCGATTCACGCATGGACGCGTATAGTTTGAATGGAACCCCAGTTTGAGCGCTCCTCCATTTGAACCCCTTGTACGCACCCCCACTCACTAATAAAGATAGCACCATCAAAAGATCCCACCATCGAGGCACCTTGACTGAGCACGAACTGCTGGCCCCCGCCATGGCCCGTCCTCTTTGGACGCATGGCACGCTTGATCCTGGCGAGATGATCACGCGCCCCCCGACATCCTTGGAGCCTAAGGGAGAGGCAGTCCAGCGCATCTCAACTTCTTGCGAGACCACCCAGATATATCTTGACATGTTGCACCTGTTTGTTGGATGATTTAGCCATGGATCAGCTGTCTAGGCCTTGAGGCTTGACAATTGGTCTCCCCCAGAAAAAGTCTTCGTTGGAGGTCCACGACTTGAATTCTGCGGAAAAGCTCCCCTAGTTGCCCTTGTTTACCTTGGTGGGCAAACTAACTTTCAACAGGGAGCAAATCACACTCTCCAAGGTGAGTTTGCACTCACCGGTATTCACCAGCCTGCATTGAGGAACCCCCACGGAACCTTCACGGGCATGCTTGATTTATCCCTAGGCCGGATCTCCATGAGTGCAGGTCAATGGATAAGCATTCCGAAAAAAATCAGTGAGAAAGCTGTGATTGTGGGTGAAAGCATTGATTATTGTCTTAGTAGTAAAAACCTGCTTTTCACTTGAGCGAAAAGCTAAAGCATAATATATACATATATATACACAATAAATGGTCATTGGCATTCACTGGCAGTGGATCCGTGCAAATGATGGGCCTCCACGGCGAGGAGTTTACAAACAGTAGCGATGTGGCTTTTCTGAGGGGTCTTCACGCTACCCACAAACCTTGGCCTGGTGTCCTCCCGGGGCTTGCTCTCGGAATTCCGGAATTGGGGCCCGGGACTTGTTTCCTACCTGGTCCTTTTCCCGCAGGTCTTGCGACTGCGGTTTCCAGTTGCGCGCGTCGGCAAAGTCTGGGTGCTTTTGCTTGGCTTACTTCAAACGGCGGCCCCCAAACCGATTGACTGTTGGTTCCACTAACACGGGTATAAACGATTCTAGAGCTCTCACTATCCCTCGATATATTAAGCCATACAGCAAAAGAACCTGTTTCACGCTTTAAGTTCAGGGCGTCCTTATGTGCTGGGCTTCTACCATCCAGCTCAACGAATCCAGACATCCCGACAAAAGAATGCCTAGTCCCATGTGTTTGGTAGCTGTCTTTACAGGAACCCCCCCTCCAAACACAAGTAAAGGGCTCGCAACCCACGTGCCTGGGTCGAAGAGTTGCACCCTAAGGGCTCCATATTCTTCCATTGCAGCCAGACCCTCCGTCAAACTCCCCGCGGCGTGGGTGGCCGTGGCCTTCGCCGGCTTGGGAATCATGTACCTGCGGAGGATTTTTTTTGGGATCCCTTGCGCCTGTTCAGCCCAAAAGTGGGCTGAAGGACCTGAAGAACTTCGACCTGATTGTCTTCGAGGACCGCTCTTTAGAAAAGGAACCCGCCAAAGAGGACTGCTTGCAACAAACCCAAAGCTGCGCCAGCGCTTTTAGCTAAACTGAAGCTTCCACCCGAAACCCTCAGGTTAGGTTAAGCGCTCCTGTAGGGTTCCACATGGCCATTTGGGGTATACAAATGTTCTGATTCTACCTTAAAATATAACATATTTTGGAGGAGACCTCAGTATCGTTTCCTTTTTGGAGGTCTGAACAACACCTGTTGGGCCAAGTTAACGTGAGTTTCTCTTTGGTTGATGTCAAAATCTGCCCAAAGAGTTCCCTGGGGTGGGCAACGGATTTTTTTGGAGTATGGCACCACACATGGTATTTGTTCATGTTTTCGGGCCGAGGACACATGTGTACGTGAATATGGGTAGATAATTATGCCCCTGCTTCCCCCTCGTACTTTGGATTTGCCCCCATTGTCTGCTGCAGCCCACAAACCAACAAGCAGTGACCCTCAGTGGGTTTTGAGACATGAGTTCTAGGACACACATATTGTCATGTGATGCAAGCTGCAACCTGCTTGTTAGGACCATGTAAGCCTGGACAAGTGATGTGGGCTCTGCATTTCGGTTTGTCCCAATCATATTGTCAGCTGATCGTTCCAAATGGCTTGCCCATTCCCATCCTCTATAGACAAGGATTCCCAAAACTTGCGCTGCCAAGCTGGGCTCACAGGGAAGCTCACGTCCAATTGTCAAAAGGTGATGGTACCCTTTTGGGGGTTTTAGAGGGAAAACCAAGAGGAAGCCGTTGGATCCTGTAAAAAACCAGCCACCCATCTGAATGGTCAAAACTACCACAATCCCCAGCAAACAGGCCACAAGGGGTCTTTTGACCATTGGACCATGGCACAAAGAGGAATCGACCTCTTTGGGTTTTCTGGGAAGGGAAGCCGCCGGTTTTTGGGGACGACACTCGAAAGGTCGCACCAGGTGCCCACCGACGGCATCAGGTTCCAGTGCTTCGGCGACGCCTCGGGCTCCTCGCCGAAGAGCTTGGCCGGGACTCCGGTTTTGTCCCGAAAAATAAAAACGCTGAGGATGATGTTCCGTAGAATGGGCTGGGGCCATGATATGGGGGGTTAACTATCAAAGTACTTCTTCAGCCCCTTATTTTACACACACACACACATCATTGTCCCATGAGATAATTATCCACGGCAAAATAATCTAGGTGTAAATCACTGTGATTCACAAACCGGGAAAATGGATCCCCTCTCGCCCCAAACCGAGGACCTTCCTCCTGCGTGAGCGCGTTTCAGCCCCAGGTCCCAAAACAGGCACGTAAATGTGTACAGTTGGCCCTTGCTTTGAGAGGGCTGGGGCGTTACTTGTTAACTCTCTTATTTCCTGGTAAAGAATTGGAATCCCTGTCGGGGTTAACCAGTTCAAGTAAGGAAACCTGCCAAACAACAAAGGATCTACAGGGTGAAGGCGCCTTAATTAACAACCTCATAGAAACCAGCTGCAAACATCTAAATGACTATTTGTTGGTAGAATATCCTGTAACTGATAACTTCTTGGACAACTGAGATAATGTTAACTTGGAATTGATCCAAAGAAACGTACTCATTGGCAGTTCCACTTTTACTAAGTAAATTATCTATTTTTGGGATTCCTCCGACTGGTCCTCCGGATTAATCCGAAGTTCACAGGGGTTTGTCTCAAAATGGGGGACAGCCCAAAGTGGCTTGTTTCCTTGGGTTTCTTTTTAGACCAATGAAGCAAAAACGGGTCCTTTCAGGAAACTCCGATCGACTCTTCGACTCAGATTCCTCATCGAGCTTCTCGAGCTGCCCTCACGCGCAGCTTGAAGCGTCCAAATGACATATGGACGTGTCTTTTTGAGGGTGATCCCGCTAAATGACGTCCACCAAAGGGTCCCCCATAAATTCACAACCATGGGTGTATCTTCTTTGACACTCTTGGGGATCTCCAGAAAAGCTGCACGGAAGTATTTGGGGATTCAAATCACAGAGAGTTTGTCGGCAACGCATCCACTCACCCCCTGCTGAGGCAGACTCAAACTTCAGTTGACCTAGAACTTTGTCGGGTTCAGTCAAGCAAACGCTTGTTGGTGTCTCTTTCCCTGCACCTTGAGGCATTTTTCCCTGGCGCATGAGGATTATGAGGCTCATGAGTCATGAGGCATTGGCATAGCTGACTGTGGTGTCATCCTTGCCGCTACCGCCCCTTTCCAGTTGCTCGCTTACCATGCGCTGCCGTCCTCAGAACCCACCTATGGCACAGAAAAGAACTAGTGCCAGGAGCCAGTCGGCGGAGACACATTCTCCAGGTTGACATTTGTTTGGTACTTGATTTGGTGTATGGTTGTTGAGCTAAACATGCGGAGTCAGCTACTTTAGTAAAGACAGTCTCACCAAATTACAATTCAGAAATAAGGGTGAACTTTACCAAAATCCTGGAACCCAAACACCTGCCCTTTTGTTCCTTCACAAATAGAAGGTAGCCTCGACATTCAAGGGTGGAACAGGCTGCAGGATGCGGGCGGCCCCCAAATTGCTTGTGGCTTTCCCTTGAAAGCAACCGGCCACTTTGGAGGTGGTGCCCTAGTTGACATCATCGAGCCATGGTTTCAAGTGGCTTCGTGGCCTCAACCTGCTCCAAGGCCCGGTCGCGCCTTTCTTATTGAGCTCCGGAAATGCCACCTGCAAATGCTGGGTGACGCCCCCGTGGTGGGGTGCCAACATAGGGTCCCCAAGTAGCACTCTTGCATGGTTTGCCCACTTTCGGCTGATTCCGCGGTTCCAAGTGAGGCTTTGCGATATGCAGATTTGCTCTTAGACACCAGGTGTTGACAAAGTGAAAACTTGTCAAGTGGTTCATGGTCGTACCCTTATCAGGAACCCTTTGCATTGCTCGTCTTAAATCCTTTAAGATGCCCATGACCTTCCTTCCCAACCTGTATATGTGAAGCTGGCAACGCCAGGTCTCCCAAAGTTTCCGAAAAGGAGCCCCGGCTTTCCCCCAACCATTTGGGCAATTTCCTGACCACCAAAGCAAGCCAAAGCTTTACCCGGGGAGGGAGGGTCCCAAAGGTGTTGTAGGGAGGTTGGGGTCCAAGAAGAATCCAAGCAGCCTGGTGGGTCCCAAAAGGATCCAAAACGAAACCGACCATTTGTTCGGAGGGGTCCGACATCTTGAGACCAATTCCATGTCTGGAATGTGTGGTATTCATTCTGCACTCTGCCTTCCTTCGGCCCGGCCTCGGGCAATAATGCTGCAATGGCACCTGAGTTTCCGAAGGCAGAAGTTGGGCAGGGCCAGTGGTTGGGCCAGCTTGAAAATTTCACAAACCTGATACTCGACAGCTCTGGTTTTCCAGAAAGGGACCCATGGCAAATGGTGCAAGACACCCTTTCTGAAATTCTAAAGTGGGCTTTGTCGCTCTGTGAGTACTTTGTCGCTTCAAAGGGGATTCCCTTGGTATCACAAGTGGCCCTGAAAGCCCTCGCGTTCCAGCAAAATGGGCTTTGGGCCCTCTCCGTTCCAACACTTGATATGTTGGCAAACGGAATGCTTGCCCCACGAAAGCAAACAGAGGAGGCAAAGAGCGAAACACTCCAGCACATACCAACATACCAAGACGGTTGACTCCATTTCCCTAGCGCGTAACCAAGAGCACCACCCGCGCGAAAAGCCAAAAGGAAATGCCAAGGACACCCAAGGACTGAAGAAAACTGTTCTCTTGTACCGAGCGAAATCTCATGGAAGTGCTCGATGGTCCCCCCACTTACATACACTCACGGGTTGGGGACATGAGCGGTTCAAACAGGGGCTCTTGGGGACAAACCCACTCCAGAAGGCAGGTTCTTCAAAATGGCAACGGTTTCCTTTTGGTTTCCCTCTAGATACCAGCCAAAAGGTGTCCACCAGTTTTAGAAACCATAAAAACCTCAGTCTTAAGCAGTCTTTTACTGCATCCCCAAACAACCTCCCTGGTCAGACCCGTGCCCCAGCCACCGGAATCAGAGGTGGTCCCGTTCGCGGGAATGATCCCCTTGGTTTTCTGGAATTTACAAAAAATAAGCCATGGAACCAAGGGGGCCCAAAAATAAGGTTACGAAGCCGCAAAGTTGCAGGGTGGTTCAAACTGTAGCTACACACTTTTCTACAATTTGGGTCATTGTCAAGGTGTCCATAACAAAAAGCCGTGTGCTTCCAGTTGCCAGTATAGTAGATAAGTGGGGGAATCTCCGAGCTCCCTGAAGGTCTGCCAAGATACTCATTTCAGGTACTGAATTCCAGGCTCCATATCTGGAACGACCCTTTTCAACAGGTCATAATATTATGTGTCCTGGACTTTGGGAATACCCCCAACAATTTTTCGAAGGGTGGAGACGCCAGGCACTCTCCAAAAAAAAACCAAAGGACCTGGAAGTCAACTTTCCTATAGGGACCCTGCTTCAGGATAGGCTTTGTCCGGGGCCAACCTTACTCCATGGCAAATCTCCGCGCGCATCGGGCGCCCGAGCCCCAGGGATCCACCGGCCGCTCCTGGCAGACGGCCGAACGCCCGGCAGCCGCGAGTTTCCTGGTAAAACTGCCCCAAGTTCATGGGAACGGGTTGAACCTATGGGGAGTCACCCACAAAAGTGGAGGATTCTCTGTAAAAAGGGGAGACTCCCTATTAACCAGGGGTGTCTTAATTCGAGGTTAGCAATAACATGGAACAAGAAAAGGGGGAGTCCCCAGACCCAAAAGGAGCTTCCTTTTCTGATGGTCCGGGCAGTTCCATGCGAAAATACAGAGCTTGTTGTCCCTGGTTTTGCTAAAGCTGCCCCGACAAACAAAGACTATCAGATGCTGTCTTCGCCTGACGAAACCATCACGGTTTTCCTTTTTTGGGGTTGTCTGCGGGCTCCCTTTCTTTGAGGGGGGTGGGGCATTGCATGCGCCACCTTCAGCGTAAGTTGGGGTCGTGGCGAGGTACGAACCAAAGCGGACGGGTCCATCCAGCCTGCACCAAAGTCTTGAGCAACCGCTCCACGAAGGGCAGGATGTTGTGGTCCTCCAAATAGGACCGCGCCTGGCATTTGGATCGAATTGTGGGAAACCTTCAACAAGGCCCCGCCGTCGAGCTCGGTGGCAACGTTCAGGGCTTTGTGCTGAACGGTTTAGGGAGATGAGCATCCAGTGCAGTTGGCTGGTGCTTGATGACAGGGTGCTCGGAACTCCCGAATGGTAAACAAATGATTCTTGAAAAGGGAATAGGGAAACCAAGGGAAACCGTTGACCAATTGTCTAGGGTTGGCAAGGCTCGGAACGTTCCAGTTTGCTCGTTTCGGTTTGAAAAAATGTCCCGAAAGCTGAAAGAGCAAGACTATGTGCTCCTTCGGGTACCCAATTTTTGGGGTTGGTTTAGCGGAAACGAACAGGACAACCGCATTTCTGGGGGTCCGGATCCTACTTCGACACACACCCAGATGAGCAACAGAAACTGTGGGTCATGGTCCTGGGCCCGAAAATTCCCATCCCGAATTCGTCAGGTCACGTGTTCTAACCATGGCAACTTCCGTGCCGTGGAACCTTGGAGGACACCGCGCATCCAAACCGTCTAGAGTGACATCTACAATGCTATAGCGGCTTTTCTGTCACTGACATAAGTTGTTGTGTTTTTTTTGGGGGGGAATATATAACCGGCGCGATAATTCCCGGGCCCGCAATCTCAAGCAATACCACAAGGCTCAAATGACAGCATGTCAAGTGGCAGCAGGGGCTAACCACCTCTTTGCCGTCTTCAGCGTGTGCGCGACCAAATCTCGGCGAAAGCTGCTACGTGCCCGTGCAGGGTTCCCTGGATTTCCAACCTACAAGGGAACTCACCAACCACGTGCTGCTAACCCAAAACCGGAGAAATCTAGGGAACCCGACATTGGACGCACCCGCTGAAAAAACTGGTGGGCCGCTAAGGCACGCAAACCAACCGAAAACTCAATGAGGCCATACCAGAATGGGGGGACATGCGCAATCGGCTTTTACTCAACTGCAAATACCTGGCGGCCCAAAAACATGGCACCTTCTTGGACCTCGGTGCCACCATCTTGCGCAGCCTAAAGGGATAACCACAAAAAACGAAGTTTGATGTCTTTTTTGTGGGGTCCCAAATCGAGGATCCACTTTCGAGGTTGGTTCAAGGACCACATTCCTGTTGAGGCTTTGGCATGATATCGCGTAAATACCTAATATCATGATAGGTTTTCGGTTGGCGCATTGCGTCCATCGGCAGTTGAGAGGACTAAGCGCGGCCTTAAAATGTGACGCCACGCCTACTGCAACGAAAACACTTTGAGAGCTCCTCGCATCGTGAAAGAATGCTTGTGCCAACCCCGCTAAGATAGCTTCCGCTGCCCCCAAACCACTACCACCAGGAAGAACAGGCTGTTGCAACCAATTTACAAACAAGACACCCCAGTTTGCTCTGGCAGCAGTTTGAGGGCTGTGGCAACCATCTTCGAAAAGGGGAGGCATCTTAACCAGTCGAGGGCACTCAACTTGCTGATGCTCAGGTAGCTCTTAGGCCAGCTCATTTGCGCTCAGCTCGCACTCATTTGCGCTGAGCTTCTGGCCTCTGCGAAAGGGCGCTGCAAGACATGGGCGCACACTGCTGGACCCATTTGCTTGTATGAATGGTCTCAAATCCTTAGCTTAATTATGGGCCCTAAGCTACGGGCACACCTGCTGCTGGACCCATTTGCTTATACACTTATCAAAGTCACCCCTAGATTGAAGGTATACAACCAGAAGGTTGCTGACTGAACCCAGAGACAGGAGTACATCATGCTGTGGGTTGACAAAAAAAATGCACAAGCTGGGATGGAAGCCCTATGAAAACGGGATAAGCCACCTACCAACCGGCGCAATATTTTGTCCGTCCACAGTATCCGTCATATGCGAGCGTGCTGTATGTGAGAATGCCATGTTGGGTTGCGTTCAAAGCAAACCGCCTTGCCGCCCGCATGTAAATATGCCTGTTCAGATAAGCAGCATTGTTTGGGCATATGGCTGGTTGTGAAAATGTTGGCTCCCAGTTTTGCTGCGTAAATCGCCATTCCATTGGGGGCCCGTATCATTCGGGCCATATGAGCACGCAACCATTGCGGCACAATGGGATTGACTAAGAAACGTCCAAATAACTGACAGGCCTTTTCTTAGCTGCTGTTGGATGAGCTATCCGAGCTTGTAGAGCAGCTGCTATAGGATATTTAAACACACAAGAAATCCCAATGTTTCTTCAGCAAGGAATTGAGTACATAGCTTTACTTGGCCTGACTAACAACTGAAGCCTAGAAACGTGCAAGTGGCTTCTTGGGTATTGCCTCCAACAAAAGGCACGCCCCGTGTTCAAGTTGGCAACTTTCTCCTAGCGCGGTGCTAGCGCAGAGCTAGCGCGAAAACCTGCCTATGTTTTCAGATTTTTCGCAGGGTCACGTGTCGCAAGGTCAGGTACAGATTTCGTGACAAGCGCAATGCATGGCAGGCACAGCACTGTCGCGTGCAGATTTCGTGGCAGACGCAGGAATGCCTCGAGCTCTGACAGAAGGGCCATGCGTGCGCAGCTCACATGCCACGTCAACTAACGTCCCCGACCTAGCGCCGAGTTAGCGCGAAGCTAGCGCTGCCAGCGGGATTTGCATGATTTAGGTGGGAGCCCGCTTCATTTCGAAAAGGAAAAACAAGATGCAACAGGAATTTTGCACATGCTGTATATAGCTCCTTAGCCGGCCTTTTTGAACGGAAGCCATATAACAACTACATAGGCCAAAACACATTCCCCATGTTCTCCCAAATGTCACAAAATAAGGAACGCCCCCGCAATGGTGACTTCCTTTTGGCTGTCCCAAAGCTGAAAAGGGTACCCTCAAAAAAACACGATCTCAATTTCCCCGGGCTGCTGTGACCTCGGAATCGAGCTCGTGGAACAGAGCCAATGGATTTGAGGTAGTTTGGGTTCCCTATGTTTCTGACAGGAAACTCACCGGGCCAGACATGTGTTCAAAACCACCACAGGGACATCTATTGGGAAGGGAACCCGAGAGAGCCTGGCAAAGGATGTTGGAACTAGCAGACTCTTGCAGCTTCGCAGATGTCTAATTCGGTGAGTTTTCGGTTGGTGTCCCTCAAAACCAGCCCAAAGGTTGCCTATGTTTGGGCGCGGTGTTAGGATCTTGTGCTTCCCTTTGAAACCAGTATCAATGTTGTGCTTATTTTCTAGTCCTTGCGCTTTGTTGGGCTTCTCATGCTTCTTGTTTTGGTCATGCAACAAGCGGTCTTAAGAATGTCTCAAGCATTCCTGGGGCTTCCCTTCAAATCCATGAAATTGACGGGGGGGTTCAAAGGATCCCCATGAAGCCATAGAAAGAACCGCAAGTGACATGACAATGTTCCGTTGTGATTCCACTTACTTGAAACGCCCCTCGGTCAGGGATATCCAAAGCCTACCGAATGGGCATACTGTGTGGATCTCCGCCAAGTGATTGCACTGGATTGATTCTTGAGGATATGGAACTACTAGGTGTCCCAAATATTGCCCACACCAAGTCCAAACGCATCTAACCGAAACTACTGCATCTAGCTGTGCCACAAATTGGCTGTACAGAAGGAGTCTGATTATAGTCCACATCCCTCAATTGACTGGGGCTCCCAAACTGCCCCAGAGGTGATCGCTCGTGCTTGCAACAAAAACTCTTTCCATGCGAGAGGGCTGACTGCCATCCACTTCAAAGGGAATGCACAAAGGGATAGTGACAACCTGACCACCCATGTCCCAGCTGTGCCCAAAAACTGGTCAAAGCAAAGGACACCAAAGCGGATCTCACACACATCCAAGACAAAACACCCAACTCGCTGGCATCCAACCCATGTTGAACAAAAAAGGACGGCTGGTGCCAAACAAACGGATCACCATCACGCCATACGGAGCCGCGATGGCCGGAAACCATCACGCTGCGTCCGGCAGTGCCAAGCGAGGAGCCAGGGCCACCAGTTGGGCATCCTGCGAGAATTCCCGAGGTTCCCCGGGCCTTTTGGTTGGCAGAGCCGTTCAAAAGGCCAGCGATTGCCATTCAAGGCAACGTAAGAGCTGGCGATTGCCAAACAAACCCTACAGCTCAGAGGATTTCCATAAGCAAATGGGTACCCTTCTTTATTGATTAATTTTGAAGGGAAACTCTGCCAAAGAAGGGCACTGCGAGTCTGAGACAGCTCGCAATATGCCTTGGGACATTCACCGTTCGGTGAATTTGAATCATCTTGCCTCCTAGGCTTCTATTTCCCAATGTCCCCCCGATTTAAGGGAACTGATCTTCCAGAGTGATCGATTCTCTATAAAACAAACACAGAAATAACCAACAATATTAAGCAATTCACAAGGACTGCCTTCCAAAACCCCTCGCTTCCATGATAAGAGGGAAAGATAAGAGGGAAAAGCGCCGGGTGTTTATCCAACGGTTCCCCTTGCCTCTCTTGTTAACCGACCTTCTGCGGAACTTCCCAAGATAAACCCCCCAAAAACAGCACTTGAAACCTGTCACGTTGTGACCACTTCAATCAACCGAGAGGGGTGTTCAACTCTTCTGGCTCCCCCTAAATCATTCAGCAAGTTAAACTACACCAGCTTCCATTTGCTTAAGATGTCACCCCGAACAATGAGCACATATAAGGCCATGGATGCTTGAAGTCAACTCGGAAGCAACTCACATCACTTTCAGCTACGGTTCGTACTCTATCTCAGCGTTCGCCCCCCAAAAATGACATATGTGATTCTGGTCGAATATGAAGTAAACCTGAAACATGTGATAGAAAACGATGAGGCCGACTTGTCATGGCTTTGGGCTCGAATCCGGCGGGGCCCTTCAAGCGTGCTTTCGTGGCGCAGGCATCGAGTTGAATTGGCTGAGCGGCCAAAGCAAACTTGGGGACCACTTTGGGATGCTGTTGGCAAGAAAGCCAAAAGGAATCCAAAAGGAAACCAACAAAGCAAACAACAGGAATCCGGAAGCAACCCATCTGGTGACATTCTTGCCACCT